CAGACTCACAGGCATAGAAAACAAATTAATGGTTATCAGTGGGGGAAGGGGGTGGGAGGGAATAAAATTGGGAGTTTGAGATTTGCAGATACTAACTACTATGTATAACATAGATAAACAACAAGTTTCTTCTGTATACAGGGAACTATGTTCAATATCTTGTAGTAATCTATAATGAAAAAGAATATGAAAAGGAATATATGTATGTATATGTATAAATGAAACATTTGTACACCAGAAATTGACAGAACATTGTAACTGTACTTCAATTAAAAAAAAAGAATACCTATCTGGACTCCTCAGCTGTAAATGCTCTTCACTCTGCTTGAAAATGATCCTCCAAACTTATAGTGTCTTACTCTTTTCTCAGGTTTTAAAGTTCATCTTTGATATATTTGAGCATTTTAAGTAGACTTACAGTCCCTATATTTCTTTTATTTGAGCTCAGAAAGAGGAGGTGGTGCAGTGTTACACGTGATGTTTGTTGTGCTGTCTGAGATTTGCATATTGTTGATTGCTTCTTGTGTGCTTTATAATTTTGGACTGTAAATTCATTTTAAGTGGAGTTTTATCTGTGAGAAATTCTCTGCTGTGTTTCCTGGATTGAGATTCTGTCCCTCCAGAATGATTCTGCTCCTCCAGAATGATTCTGCCCCTCCAGAATGATTCTGCTTTTTTGTTTCTGCCAGGCACCACAGAGATATTCTCAGTCTGAGACTCCTAAGGTGATTTCTCAGCTTGGGAATTTTTGAACACTTCAGTTAAATGCAAATTTAAAAAGGGCAAACCTCTCTCCCATCCCACCTCCCACTCCTAGGCTTGAAGCACAGGCCAAGAAAAACTCTCCATGTCAACTGTGTACTGGAGGATAGATTTTTTATGTCTACTTTTTCCCTGATGGTGGTTGCTGTTTTTTGAGATCTCTACTTCATGGGTACTGAGACTGGCAAATCCTTTCACGGCAACCAAGTGTTGGTTTACACTTAACACTTTCTTTTTTGTGTTTGTTTGCTTTTTTGTTTTTGTTTTGTTTTGTTTGTTTGTTTTTAACATTTTTATTGATTTATAATCATTTTACAATGTTGTGTCAAATTCCAGTGTAGAGTACAATTTTTCAGCTATACATGAACATACATATATTCATTGTCACATTTTTTTCTCTGTGAGCTAGCATAAGATCTTGTGTATATTTCCCTGTGCTATACAGTATAATCTTATTTATCTATTCTACATTTTGAAATCCCAGTCTATCCCTTCCCACCCCCCGCCCCCTTGGCAACCACAAGTTTGTATTCTATGTCTATGAGTCTGTTTCTGTTTTGTATTTATGTTTTGTTTTTTTTAAGATTCCACATATGAGCGATCTCCTATGGTATTTTCCTTTCTCTTTCTGGCTTACTTCACTTAGAATGACATTCTCCAGGAGCATCTGTGTTGCTGCAAATGGCATTATGTTGTCATACAACTTAATAAGAAAAAAACAAACAACCCAATCCAAAAATGGGCAGAAGACCTAAACAAGCAATTCTCCAAGGAAGACATACAAATGATCAACAGGCATGTGAAAAAACGCTCAGTATCACTAATTATCAGAGAAATGCAAATCAAAACTACAATGAGGTATCACCTCACACCAGTCAGAATGGCCATCATTCAAAAGTCCACAAATGACAAATGCTGGAGAGGCTGTGGAGAAAAGGGAACCCTCCTACACTGCTGGTGGGAATGTAGTTTGGCACAGCCACTGTGG